GAAAGTTTTGAAATATTGTGAGAATTGCCAAAATATAAGACAGAGACACAAAGTGAACATATGCTGTTGAAAAAATGGTGCTGATAGACTTGCTTTAAGAAGGTTTACCACGAACCTTCAATTTGCAAAAAATGAGGTGTCTGCAAGGTACAAACAAAAGGTGGAGTGCAATAAAATGAGGTATGCCTACATGTCTTTGGTAATAGAAATAATGCTGGAGATCACATGACGAAATTTGCAAAACCAATAATTTAATCATTGGAATACCTTTTTTTTTTTTTAAACCACAGAAAGGGCAACTGTACATGTGTACGTCACCAGACAGAATACACCAGAATTGAATTGACTATATCTGTGGAAAGAGACAAAAGAGAAACTCAATATTATCAGTCAGAAGAAGGCCAGGGGTGCACCGCCAAACAGACCATCAGTTATGCATATGCAAGTTCAAGTTGAACCTAAAGAAAATTAAAATAAGTTCACAAGAGCCAAAATATGCCCTTGAGTATATACCTCCTAGATTTAGAGACCATCTCAAGGCCAGATATGATACACTGAACACCAATGACTGAAGACCTGATGAGTTGTGGGATGACATCAAGGACATTATACATGAGGAAAACAAAAGGGTATTAAAAAGACATTAGAAAAAGAACAAAATGAATGTCAGAAGAGACACTGAAACTTGCTTTTAAAAATAGAATAGTTAAAGCAAAAGAAAGAAATGAAGTAAAAAAGCTAACCAGATCTCAAAGGGCAACTTGAGAAGACAATGTAAAGTATTAAAATGAAAAACTAAAGTTAGAAAATCAAATGAAAGAAAACTCTCTGCATTTCTAAAGCTGAAAGAACTGAAGAAAAAGTTCAAGCCTCAAGTTGCAGTATTGAAGGATTCTATGGGGGAAAAATTAAACGACGCATGAAGCATCAAAAGAAGATAGAAAGAATACACAGAGCCACTGTACCAAAAAGAATTGGTTGATGTTCAACCATTTTGGGAAGTAGCATGTGATCAAGCGCTGATGGTTTTGGAGGAAGAAGCCCAACATGCACTGAAGACATTGACAACAAACAAGGGTCCAGGAACTGGTGGAACACCAATTGAGATTTGTCAACAAATGGATGCAACCTGGAAGTGCTCTCTTGTCTATGCCAAGACTTTTGGAAGACAGCTACATGGCCAAACAACAGGAAGAGATCCATATTTATGCCCATGCCAAAGAAAAGTGATTCAGCAGAATGCAGAAATTATTGAACAATATCATTATTAATATCACACACAAGTAAAATTTTCCTGAAGATATTTCAAAAACAGTGGCAGCAGTACTTTGATAAGGCACTGTCAGAAATTCAAGCCAGATTCAGAAGAGAGGGTAGAACAAGGGATATCATTACTGATGTCAAATGGATCTTGGCTGAAAGCAAAGAAAATAAGAAAGAGGTTCACCTGTGTTTTACTAACTATGCAAAAGCATTTAACTGTATGGATAAAAATAAATTATAGATAACATTGTGAAAAATGGATATTCCAAAACACTTAATTGTGCTCATGAAGAATCTGTACATAGACCAAGAGACAGTCATTAGAACAGAACAAGAAATACTGCAGTGGTTTAAAATTAGGAAAAGTATATGCCAGGGCTGTATCCATTCACCTGGGCAAGTAATCCAAGAAGCTGGGCTATATGAAGAACAACATGGCTTCAGTATCAGAGGAAGACTCATTAACAACCTGTGGATATGCAGATAACACAACGTTGCTTGCTGAAAGTCAAGAGGACTTGAAGCACTTGCTGATTAAGATCAAAGACTATAGCCTTCAGTATAAAGAAAACAAAAATCCTCACAATTGAGCTAATAAGCAACATTATAATAAACAGAGAAAATTTGTCAAGGATTTCATATTACTTGGATCTACAATCAATGCCCATAGAAGAAGCAGCCAAATCTGCTACTGCTGTCAAATCTGCTACAAAAGATCTATTTAAAGTGTTAAAAAGCAAAGATGTCACCTTGAGGACTAGGGTGTACCTGACCTAACCCATGGTACTTTCAATTGCCTCATATGCATGTGGAAGGCAGACAATGAATAAGGAAACCCAAAGAAGAATTGATGCCTTTGAATTATGATGTTGGCAAAGAATATGAATATACCATGGACTGCCAGAGGAATGAACAAATCTGTCTTGGAAGAATTATAGGCAGAATGCTCCTTAGAAGGGAGGATGACAACTTTGCTTCATATACTTTGGACATGGGATCAGGAGGGACCAGCCACTGGAGAAGGACATCATGCTTGGTTAAGCTGAGGGTCAATGAAAAGAAGAAGATCCTCAATGAGGTGGATGACAGTGGCTGTGATGATATGACACAGGACCAGGCAGTGTTTTTTTCTGCTTCTGATGTACACTGGGTCACTATGAGTTGAAACCGAATTGATGGCACCTAATAACAGCAACAACAATTACACCAAGAAAAAATTGGTGAACTCAACTCAGTTCAGTCTTTCCAAAATAATTTTGCTAGATAATTTATCAGAAATATATAAATTTGCTTATTCTTCCTGAAGAATAAAATTCTCTGAGCCTAGAAAAATAGAAAAAGTTTTGTTTTTTAAGGTTTTGCTGTGATTTTTTATAGTTTACTTAAAGTAGGAAAAATCTATCGTTACTTTAAATAGAATACATTGCTCTGAATTAAAAATAAGAACTTCTTTTAAAAAAAGGTAAGAGTGCCCCACTGGAGGCTAGGGTTGGCAGTGGGGAGTGCAGGGCCAGCAAAGGCTCCAAAGGGAACTTGAGGATTGTAGTATGGAGAGTTTAAAAATTCATCCTTGTTCTTTATACCTACCCGGATGCCGGTACCTGCTACCACTCTCTCTGGATCTATCAACAGTTAGCAGATGCCTTTCAGGATTGAGAAAGCTGCCTAAATGTTTTCAGAAGGTCTCTCACAATCTAGCTGGGTATGTTCAACACATAAGGTGGGCAAGGGCGACCATGAGGTTCCACACTCATAACACTCCCAGAGAGGAGCAAGCACTTAATACTTCACTTGAAAGGGAGAGGAGGCTGGGTATATGATTTCCAAAGACAAATCCAGTTTTGTATTTCTGAGATGATAGCCACACGGGTGAGAGAGAAAGGTGAAGGTCATATTTCATCCAATGTCCCCAGCTCAACCTTTCCTTACCTGACCTCTGAAATGGAGCCATTGGCCTTGAAAAGCCCAGTGGCTAAAATTAATATTCTTCCCCATCTGACTAAGAAGGAACAGCTGAGCAACATGAGATCAAGGACCATATTAGTTTAAACAGGGGCTCAAAGTGGCATGTGAGAGAGAGGTTACTTCCTTTCATAGTGGGACGTGTCTTTTCAGAAGACTTGAATTCTACTGATAGTAAAGGCTTTTACCAGACAATTCCACAGTCAGTTTGAATTCTGCTTCCTTTTATCTCTGGAACTTATACTCTACACTTGGAGTGGTCCAAGCTCTATGATGTCCTCCTATAAATGGTAATTTCACTATTTTTAAAAGTTATTATTGTAACTTCTGAAATATCCTTCACTTTCTCTCTATTGCCTTAAATAGCAAGTTGTACTAAACTTTGTTATTATATCTTAGACCATAATCTTTTATTTTAATATGTTAATTTTAATGGGGCTTTCTGATTCAATTTGAGGAGCATCTGCATTAAATATTGTATTTTATTCATAGTTTGCCTGACAAATATTCATGCATCTTCCCTATTTTAATACTGATTATTTTTCAGGACTATTTGAAAGATTGCTAATAGTTGTCTATAGCGTATCTAGAGCCCTGGTTGATAATTTTTAGGTTTAGTTTTGTTTGAATACAAGCTCTTTATGTGGCTAAGTAGAATTTTGTAGAGCATTCAGTTCTGAATATTTTGGAATTCAAGATTATTCTTTATTATATGAGTTCAGGAAATGAAAGCTGTCTGGAGATAATTACAGATGATTTTTAGGTTGAGAAAAAAGCTATAAGGGAACAATTTCTAGAAATTCTCCAGCAGGGGGCCTCAGGATTCAGTCATGAGAACATCCCACAAACTCACATCTCAGTCTGTCTCCTTCTCTCCATCTTCTTCGATCCTTCTTTCCCTGTAGCATCCAGTGATGTGTAGATACATGCACATATGTCTCTAGTAGCAGAACAGTATCACGTGTTATGTGTATTATTTAATTTGTGAGAAAGGTATTTCAAGGAAAGCACAGGACTCTGAACTCCACAGTCTTAATGAAAATGCAGAGAAAGGTGTCTGGATACCTTTTTACAGTGTGAAGCCTATATGGAAATAAATATCTTTTAAAAAACAAATACCAACTGCTTTAAGATATAGGCAGAGAAGAGTTCTGGAGATGGAATCATTTGGTGAATGATTCTAAGAGTGACGTAAACTTCCAGGGGCAATGTGAGAAATCCTCTCCAAAGGAAGCCTTCTACGGGATGGAGCCTCTACCAACCTCTGCAAACAGCACAGAAGGCCGTTTGCAGCCCCCTCTAGGAGAGGAAGCAACACTTGTAATCTCAATCAAGCTCAAATAAGCTGTATATTCCATATTAAGCTGACCTCTAGGTATAAATCTTATTTTAAATAAGGAGAACATATTTAGTCACAAAATGAACTTAAGCTTGCTTCTTCCTGTTTGTTTTTATAGAAAAATATGGAAAAAAAGCAAAAACGTTTTCTTTTCTAAGTTCCAACACTTGAAACTCAATGTTGATATTAGTATTTCTCTTTCTAATTTTAGATTCTCTTTCTAGCTTACACAAAAGAGACTTCAAAATTCTCATTGGTCATTTTCCCAAAATGTCAAATATGTAAGTAAGTGATGAGTACTTTCTTTGGTTCCCTTCTTAACAGCCAAGAAAAAGGGGCACTCAAAAGTCATGATTGCATAATGATTTACAGACCGGAGACAGAGGCAGACAAAAACCACACTCCAGACAGTAACCTAATCGAACTCACCACCAACATGCTGAAGGTGAATAGGTTGGAGGAAATCGACACTTGCTACAGCAGTGCCCGGCTGGGGAAAATGGCCTTTATTCAGTGCATGGAAAAAATTGAGAAAGTGAAATATTTTCTGGAAGAAACTTCTAGTGAACAAGACTCAAGGTCTGGAAAGAATGAGGTAACTATGTGCTAATTTAGTCCCCTAAAAAGTGTTAATTCTACACTATCTTTTCTTACATCACGTAGCCATTTATTCAGTCCTTTTCAAACTCTACGTTGTCACTTGTGTGTAGAATTATTATGCATAGGAAAAGTTCCATTGTGTTTCCCTGAAAGTTTCCCAGTACAGTCAAGATTTGGTACATAGTTAAGAAGGCTGTGAGAATGCTTTTGTACCTGCAACCCACTCCACACCGTCTTTACTTGCGCAGAATTTAGGAAAGTAAACTTGTGAGAACACATAGTTAAGAAGAATAATTTTAAAGTGGTAAATTTGGGCTTCAATTCAGAGAAGGACTGTGAGGGGTTCAAGTTTGCTGCTGAAGAAGCTTCTAATTTCTGTAAGATCATCAAGGGGTGGGTGGTAGAGCTAGGGACAAGACAGCTGTCTTCAGAGAAAGACCATGCATGGCTGTGCTACCATGAAACCCGTATACTTATTTGTGCAGAGTGTGGGCCCTAAATGAGCCCATTCCAGAGGCCTGATTTTGGCAAGTTATTAATCTCAGCCTTGATTACCTCATCTAAGCAATGGGATGACAGTAGCCTACACCTCAGAGTTGGTGTGAAAACTAAGTATACAAAATGTATATAAAGAACTTAATACCAGAAGAGTCAGCAAAGTAAGCATTCAATAAATGCTAGCCAACCCTCCTCTGCCTTGGTAAGCCATTCCCCCTTGGTAGTTCATTCCCCCTTATCAACACATACAAATGAAGTTCTTTGCCCAGCAGGGGCCTCACAGCATTTTGTCCCAGTCTTTATCCTAGCACATGCCATTGTTTTGAAAGTGTTTAACACCTTTCCTGAGACAGAGCTAGCTCTTCCAGATCAGGCCTCCTGTTACTCATCACGCACTTTGTTAACAGGCACCAGTGACGTTTATTGGATGGATAGATCTGTTTAAGTGAATGCACAGGTCTATTAAGTTCTAGTTAAGAGAAAGAGAAGACTGTCTCTAGATGGGTGCAGTTAAACTCTTGACTACCAGTAGAAAACTGGAGGTTTAAACTCATCCAGGGGTGCCTTAGAAGACAGCCTGTGATCAGCCTTAAAAACTCCATGGAGCAGTTCTACTTCACCCACATGGGGTTGCCATGAGTTGGTGTAACAAAACACACAAACAAGGCGTGTAATTGAAGGAGCACAAAAAAACTTAGACTATAAAAAGCAGAGATACATAGGACACCAACTTACATGTGTGAACATTTCTATATTATAGACTTTCAGAATTTTGCAGAAAAAAAACCAAATTAATAGTGAATTATATCCGTGCAACTGTGAGCATAAAGAGGCACTGCTTTTTGATATTGGTATCTGGCATGGCCCAGCCTGAAGCCTCAGAGTCCCACTCAAGCCACATACTTCCATGTGCATTCTGTGATAGTCATCATCAAACAATAAAGACAAGTATAAGAAGGATAACACAAAAAGTCAGCTTGCCTGGTGAAATGATATCCTGCATCTTGGACTTTGGTTAACCCTTTATAAGGCTTTTGACAATGTTAAAATAGAATAATAGAGAGTGGCTGCTTAGATCTCCACTCAAAAAGTCAGAAATCCTTATGAGATAGGCTTTACCATAGAAAATTACCAAACCTTGATATTAATTATTGACATCAAAGGTGTGGCTTTTTTTTTTTTTGAATTGTGATTTGGGTGAAAGTTTACAGAGCAAATTCATTTTCCATACAGCAGTTCATACACATTTTGTTTCATGACACCGATTACAATATCCACAGTGTAACACCTCTCTTCCCACTTCTCCCCTGTGGTTACCTTTTCCTTGTGTCTTTTTTTTTCCTGTGCATTTCTGCCATTTGAGCTATTTCCCTGTGTGAATGCTGCCCTTCTAATCTCCCATGATTGATTGCTCTGAGGAGTGTACCTACCTGGTGTAAATATCCACCCCACATGCCTGTCCATTGTTTGGCTGGTAGCCACAGAGTGAGTTCAATTCCAGGTCTGAAGGGTTACTAAGGCCATAGTCTCCAGAGTTTTACAAGTCTTCATCAGAGCAGCAAGCCTGGTCTTTTTTTTTTTTTTTTTTTTTTTTTTTTTGAGTTTTATTTCACATTTTTCTCCCACTCTATCCAGGATCTCCTGCACTGATCCCTTTCTGAGTGGCTGACAGTAGTAGCTGGGCACCATCGAGTTCTGGTCTCTGGGTCATGTAGGCTGAGGTTCGCATGTTCACTAGTCCCTTGGACTAATTATTTCCATGCATCTTTGTTTTTCTTCATTCTTCTTTGCTCTGGACTACAAGAGACCAATTGCTGCATCTAGATGTTTACTTGTGAGCTTTTAAGACCCCAGTTACTACTCATATCAAAGTAGCATGTAGAGCAATGTTTTTGTGTAGTATGTTATGCCAAATGAACTTGAATGACATCAGAGCCTTTAGTTTATGCTCTGGTGCAGGTTTTATAGCTTTCACATGGTAAACCAGGAATTCAGCATCTCTCTTTTTGGAACAAAGTACTGGTGTTGCAGTGCCTAAGGCATTTGGAAGTAAAATATTTTTAGGATATTTTGGAAAGAAAGACTGAGAATGTCGTGTCTGTATAACCCCCAAATGAACATCGTTAGTAATAAGTCTATTCATTCATATTGCCACCCAAGGTCCACTGGCTGCATTGCATCCTGGCTGCAGGTGTGGGGGAGGAGGAAAGGACTGGTAGCTCCAAATGTCCCATTCAGTTTCTTATTTGGAAAGGGCCCAGGAATGTCAGCAATAAATTTACCTCCTCTTCTTTTTCCCTGTGGGGCTGGGATGGGCCCATGGGTGGGAGGCTCATAGCTCTTCTCCTTCCTGTTGGGCCCCAGTCTTGCTCAGGAGGGTCTTTCTCCCCTGACAGGAAGCCCAAGTAGCCTGAGGGCTTGGTGGGGTGGTAGGGAGTCATTCTAGCAGCTCAGATGTCTGTAGGTATGCAGAGAGACATAGATAAGTGAGTCTCTCTCGCCTGCCTGGACTGCAGTAAATCCTCACAATGCTACTCTTTTCTCCCCAGCATAAAACAAATGCTTGTCATGATTTCTTCACTTATTCTCATTTCTCCTTCTCTTGTGTGAAGATTAGCACCACTAATCATAGTAGAGAGACTCACTGTGGTGCCCTGAAAGGAATTAACTCTGAATTTCAGGCACTCTGGCAACATAGAAATATAGAAACTTTGTCTTGGAAGCTTGAATTGCAATTTCTTTCTAGAAGAGCCTTAAACTATCCTCCAGTCCCATATATATTATTTATATATAACAATATATAACTATATATATA